GGTGATAATACTAGTCAAAAAAGTCACACTATGAAGGGGTCAAATGGGATCCAATGAAAGGCTTAGCGCATCTCTGGACTTCACCTGGGGGGACTGCAACCTTTTGCTATTCAGAGCCTCTGCTTAAAGTTGAACATTTTTTTTTCTTTGGAGGCAATCTTTGGTGAACAGGTAGATAAGCAGAGGATCCCTCCTGAGCTTCCTCGCTGGTGTCACAGTGCATGGCTGGAGGAGGACAAACAACAACATAGACACATGGCACAGATTCAGATTCCAATACACAGCCACACTGCCTATCTGTGAACTCCTAGCTCTCTCTTCCCGCATCCGAATGCAAAGGCTGGCAGCAAAGGATCACCCTGGAGGTTAGAGGGAGCCCAAGGGAATGTCAGGTAGAGGCAGCACCAGGACCAGGAGGGACAGCTAGATGATCTTTACTCAATAGCTCACTGATGCACTTGACTGGTAGTTTGAAAGCAACAGAGAATTACGATTAGGAGACTTTTCCTTTGCAAATGGACTTGTGTATTTAAACGTATACTGCTTTAGCTGGGTAGTCTCCGGGTAGGTGCTGATTTGTTATACGAATAATTTTCCCTACAGCTTCTCCTCTATTTCTCCTCCCTGCCCCCATGGAAGACAAACAGAAATGATTCCATATTTAATGTAGTCAAGATTTAGGGCTCTGTTTATTTCCTCCAAGTCAAGAGATTTAATGGTCCTGGTTCATGAATCAGGGGAAGGGGCTTCCAAATTTTCCATAAGAGATTTTTTTTTTTGAGTTGGAGTTTCACTCTGTTACTCAGACTGAGTGCAGTGGCCGCTCCCGGTCACTGCAGCATCTACCTGCTGGGATCCGGCGATCTTTCCGCCTCAGCCTTCCAAATAGCTGGAACTACTAGGCACATGCTACTACACCCGGCTAATTTTTGATTTATTGTAGAGATGGGGTCTTGCCAAGTTGCCCAGGTGGGTCCATAAGAGCTTTTAAAATATCTTTGATTACATGGAGAAGGACTGCCGCACTGAAAATAAAATTATTTCATGTATAATTCAGGACTGCTATAGTGACAGGTTAATTTCAAGAGAAGGTTTTGAAACTAGTTCTGCATCCTTATAATATAGATTCCTAGACTCTATTTTTTCAATATAACATACCTGGTTTGAGAATTTTAATTTTTGTTTAAATTAGAGGAAATTTTTGCCTTCTGCCATGAAGATTCAATTACTGGAGTATTTACAGACATGCCGAACATGTCATCAACAACCCTACAGATTGTTAAATCTAAAACAGCTATAAGATTATTTTCCCAGAATTACTTTCTGCATGTTACATACAGTGTCCTGGGCTCCATTTGTTTTAAGGTATCAACAACTGAGGGTCAGCAGTTCTCTGAAGTCAATACTGCTGCAAACCAAATTCCTTTGGGCTCTGTTTGTTTATCCACCATGGTTTTGTAATCAGTGGAGGAACCAAGGCAGTTCACCCCAAAAGACCACAACTCTGACCAGGAACCCAGTCTAAGAGCATCTCCTTACACGCAGCCTTTGCATGAGAGGAGCAAACAATGCATGAACCAAGATATTGGTCATGGGTGAGGATGCCAGCTTTGAACAAAAACACAGGATTGGACAATGGACAGCATTCTAAACAAGACATAGATGTGCACAGTGTTTTCCGGTAACACAAGACAATTTGATTTCCTTCTTGGTGCCCAGTTTAAATTAAAGCTTTGGTCTTGAGAGTCCTTTTTTCAGGATCATGGAGACAGTCTTGGATACGCATGACGATGGATGAGAGAAGAGAATGATGCGAAGAACATGATGGATGTGGAGGACAGCTCAGGATGAGGACTGGGTCTCACTCTGCCCTGACTCACACTCCTACCTCAGCTCAGGGAAGCCCTGCCATCCTCCTTGAAGAGTCAGACCCTGGATCCCATTTGGAGAAGGGAGTGAGCCTTCTGTCTGGCCCTCTACAACCTTCCCTTCACCACTGCAGAGGGCAGCTATCACTATGCTTTGCCCATGATGACCGGTTCTGACACCCCACAAGGCCCACTTTGTGGCCCTCCATCCTGGGGCATGAACATGTGGGCAAGGCTCCCTCAGTCCTGACTCCCAGCTTGTGCAGCTAAGAGAGATACAAAACTCAGGAACCCCAGTCAGAGGAGGGGCTCCACGGGAAAGATAGTATAATAAAGCAAGTATAATAAAATAATGGCTTTAGTCTAAGTTTCTATGTGTTACCAGTGACATTGGATAATCAGACTAAATGAAAAATAAACACCATGTATTTTGCTATATAATCAAATGGTGAAAGTCAGGCAAAGTGTGCAAAACAAAGCCCTTGGCAATGCATCCAGCCCTTCCTGGGGCAGGGGAAGCAGCTGCTGGCCCTTCCCTAACACTGGTTTTCAGATCTGGGCTCCTACTGTAAGGTTTCCTCAGGCGTCTGACCCACCTCTCACATCTTGAGCCTCCTGTTGACAAGAACAGAGGGAGACACCATTAAGGCAAGTGCCCACCTCACAGGGGCATCGAGTCCCCTTCTGGCAGGGCAGCTGCCTGGCTCCTTCCTTCCAAATCACCACCATATATCTCCTTTCAGAGGCCCTGGGAGAGCGGAGGGTAGTGCAAGACTCAGCCAGGCTGAGGCACCAGGGTTGGAAAATAGAGAGGACAGACAGACATGGCAAGCGCTGGGCGAAGACATGGAGAAGCATGGCACAGCAGTCTACGACAACAGAGACAGGGCACACTGCTTACCAGGCACCAGTGTTGGGGTTGAGACACACCTAGACCCCAGGCTGCAGCTTTGCATCCCTGGCCTCATCACTTCCTGAGAAGAGGCACTTTCCATGGCTTCAAGCAACCCCCGACACTTGCCTTTGAAACCTTTCAGCCAGGTGCCATGCCACTCCTGGTGGCCCTGGGTGGAGTGGCCAGAGGCTGCATGGGATGGGCACATGGGTAGTGGGACCTCCCAGGAGGAACACGCACTGGGCAACACAGTGATCACTGCACACTTCTCCTTTGGCACCTGCAGTTGCGAGTACTTTCTAGTTTCAACCCACCACAGAATCCTGGTCAGGCTCTTCGGTCTTCCATGGCGACCCTGTCTTCAGCAGTCTGGCGTTTCACCTGCTCCTAAGACCTTCATGAGACACTTGTAAGATACAATGAGCCTCCAGGGCATATGGAGTCACATAAAGGCAAGATTTACCTTGCTTGCATTCTTAAAGTGGAGCCCACTCTTAGTCTCTGCAGACTTGACTCCCCAGGGGTGGCATGGGTGGAAGGCAGTGTCTCCTGATCACTGCAGCGAGCAGTTTGTCATCTCAGAGCAGTGTTAACTTGACCCTTTTCCCCTAGAGGGCCAACAGCTCTCCTTGCTGCCCAGGAGAGATGGTTACCCTCCCTGGGCACAGAGCTCTGCTGCATGTGTAGTCTGGAGAATGCAAGAGAGCATGCGGGGACAGGCCTGGCTTTCTCAGGTGCTTTTGTAAGAGTCCCACAGACTAGAACCACTGCTGGCTCCCAGAGGAAGGATGGCATCTCTGAGCAGTGCAGCCAACAGCTAGTTGTCTTAAGAGGTAGGAAGGGAAGGGAGACTAGGACACCCTGCACACCCAGGGCTCAAGCCTGCAACCCCCAGTGCTGTCACGAGAAACAGGTTGGGAGAGCTGTTCAGATAAAAAGGACGACAGTGGGAAACAAATGGTCTTTGGCAGCAGCATCCTAGCAGGACATTTCTCCAGTGAGGAGAACGAATGACTGTAATCATATGGGAGTTCATTACAGTGGAAGGGGCACACCGCACAACATGACCTCGGTGAGTCTGACATGTAGGGACCTTGGTGGTTTTTCTTTTCCTGAAATCCATGTGCTCCATCCTCTAACTACTTCCTCTTTCTGTATCCATTTATTGAAATTATGACCAGGGATCTGAGATCCAGCATGGGCATGTATGTGCGTATGTGACATAGGGAGAAGGGCTGCGAAATTCTAGGTGACAGTTTTCAAAGCACCACTGAAATCAGGATCTTGCTCTTCCACGTGGCCCTCATTCTCCTGGTCCAAATTAGAGACATGTGGGGCTTAAACTGTATTCACTTTAGACAGATAAGATATTTCCCATGGTGAGGACTGAGGCAGCTGTGCCTTGGAGCCTGATCACACGCCATCACGCAGAAGTGGGGACGGGGCAGACTAGGAGTCCCCAGGGCTTCAGGCCCTTCACACGGCTCCAGAACACATCTGTCTTCCACGTGGGGGACCCGTTTAAAGACTCTAAAGTGAATTGTCCGAAGAGAAGGTTCCCTGAGATGCATTTCCACATCTGTTTTCTGGGAATGCAGTGCTCCCTCCTGCTCACTCTACACTGTCTGCAGAAACTCACCCAGACGGGGAGGTAAAACCACCCACACAGCCCAGGAAGGAGAGGCTGAAGAAGTCCCTTCCCAAATGACAGAGTAGTGAAGGGCCAGGCAACAGGTAGTAAGGGCAAGTCAGTAATCACCTGCCCTGAGAATGTCAAAGATGACGTAAGGCATACAACCCCTCCTGGCAAGGCCACTTCTGTGAGCTAGCAGGGTGATCTGTCCACTGGCTAGACAGACACACCCTAGTCTCCACAAGAATGCAGACTGCAAGGGTGGGTGACTGTGTGAGTGCAGGCCTTTAAGAGAGGGAATGGAGGGTGGGCTGGGGGGGCTCCAGGCCATACTAGACAAGAGTCCTTGAGCTTGCACATCACTGATGCCTGCCCCAGTCTCTGCACAACTACCTTCATCATAACTTAGTAGACCAAGAAGGGTCTTAAAAAGCACATAAATACAGGAGCTGGTGTGGCCAGGAGGGTGGCAAAGCACTGCTCCCCCATGGAAGTCTGGGCACCTGCCCAGTCTGCAGGGGGATCTGCCCTGGAGGAGGGTCAAGCAAATTTACAAAGCGCCGAGAGCAGAGTGCACTGCGATCCATCTCGAGGTGGCAGATAACTAGTTTTTCCTTTTCTGGGCAGCCTTTCTCTTCTTCTGTCGCTTCTTTTTTCCTATCTTTTCTTTTTTCCCCACTTTTTCTTCTCTGCGCCCCCTTAGATAAAATTAGTAGAACCATTAATAATGTTGAAATAAACAAGAGTTTGTTTCAGTCTGCACAAGATTTAACACTGGCCCATGTATCAGTTTAACTCTGTCTTCAGTCTCAGGCCTTGAGGCACCTGGTCAAAGCACCGTTCGCCAGTAATTCTTTAAAATAAATTAGATATTTTCTTCCATTCAAACAAACATTAAATGGGTTTTTATAATCCCTGTGAACTGGTTACAGTGATTGCCCATTTGCCAACCTGAGCCTGGCTCTCTCTACCACCTGAGGCTCCCACTAGGGACAAAAAAAATCCACATCTCAGGGTGCAAAAGGTTGATCTTTATCACCCCGTCCTGACCCGCTCTCATAGGGTTTTCTTCCATCTCACTGCAGAGTTGAACTTTCAGCTTTCTCTCTCTGCATTTCAAATTGAATAATGCTTTGGAGATTGGAGGCCCCAACATCAGATGGTCATTCAGGAGAGAAGAAGGAAGGTAGTCCAATCCCACCTTCTTCTTTCTGAATGCCTGGGAACTCCCCCTGGAAATGACTGGGATTGTTCTGGAGAGCAAGGGAGAGAGTTGGTTAGAAGAATTTTATTAGAGCAACTGGCTCGTGACTGTCACATTAAAATGATTCAAGCTGAATGGTATTTAATGATTTATGGGGTGAGGCCACCTGTTCCTATGAAAGCTTGATATTAACCATGGCCTGGAGTCATGGGATTTTTACATGGGAAAATATGAAAGCTTGATATTACTAGGGTTGAGTCTCTGGGGATTACATGGGCTGTTAGGAGAACCAAGAAGGAGGAGGAAGGGGAAGAGGAATTAGTGAGTCAAATATTTTTCAGAAATCTAGCACTGCTACTTCCATTGGGTTAAAGAAAAAAAAAAGATGCAAAACATTGAGCTGCATCTCTAATCTGCTCATGAGAAAAGTCCATACACTGTCATGCATGGGCTGGGCAGAAGGGATTTAAGGCACCTGGCCTGCAGGCAGGCTTGTTTTTATAAACTTCAGAAATGTATATGAGCTCCATCTATAACAACTAATGAATTTTATTTTATGTAAATAAATTCCCACATACAGTAGGAGGCTTATACCATGGAACGATTAGCATTTTATTGCTAGTGCATATAATGTCACATTTGATACAATTTTCGTACAAGTGAAAAAATACACTGTGGTTAACATTGAAAAGCTGCAATCACATTTATATATCATATATATTTCTTTACAAATTGTCAGTAGTTTAAGATAACAGAGAAATGTAAACTACTGACATTCATATGGCTCCACTTCAAATATATGAATTGCTCGACTATAAATATATTCCGAAATACATTTGTTTTCTAAAGAAACATAAAAAAATGTGCACAAAAATATATATAAAAAATGCCTTGCAAAAAGTTACAAATACCACCAGGACCATCTGTGGATCACATTTATGCATGGAAATTTCATCTTGCCAACATTTCTGATTGGAACCTGAAACCCTGCTGTGGCTTCAGAAGGGGGGAGTGGCAAGATGCTGGCTTATTCATTTATTTTTTCACTTCTGGTTTCAGAAACCTAAGAGTTTGTAGAGCCTCTGTGGCATCCATAGGCTTAGAGGCAATCAGAACAACCAAATTCCTCAAAGCAAGCTGTCAGATTTAAAACTGCATTTGATTCTGCAAAGACTTGTCTTTTGTGGGAAAGCAGGGGCATGATCTCACGTCCCTCAAGAGGGGCATGGCTCCATTACAGAGGAGGTCAAAGACGGATCTCACAGAAGGCCCATGTTGGAGGGCAGGCATAGGGAGGAGAGGGGTGTAGGGCAGCAGCCCCAGCCATCACCCTCTTCCCTGCCAATGCAGCATTGATCAGGCTACAGAAATGAGAAGCAGAAGCGAGATGAAGCATGCTTTTAGAGGCAGGGAGAGGGCGGAAATGGCTGGAAGGGGGTTTCTGGGCACAGTCTCCAGGGATAGTGGCTTTTACATGGAGCTCACAGAGCCAATCACTAAACTTGGAAGAAGGGGTGAAGGCCGTGGCCTCTGCCCAGCACTGGTGAATATCTGAGTGTCACACAGGGCTTCATCCTGGGAGGAGTGGCCCCTCCAGGAGCCTCAGCATCTGGAGGAAGGGCACTTTTTCCAGCTCCCTGCTAAGCTATCACCTGCTGTGCCCAGACTACCCAGGGGAGAAGAGACGAAGTTCCAAAACAAACCAAATACAGATCTTGAAATAATCATTGATTTAAAAAATGATAATGAGAATGATGATGATTATGATGGTCATGAGGAAACTGACTGTTGGGAAATACTGTTGGGATAATACAATTTCTTAGAAAAACCCCAGTTAAAAAAATTCCAATGTGCAAGGGTATGAGACATGGATGAATATAAGCTGTAGTATCGTACCGTATGTTATAAATGCAATGTCTAAATGCTGGCAAACTTCAGGCCCGATCCCAGATCAATGCCCATCCCACAAACACACCTGGTCCTCATGATACAGGCCACCCTCCCCCACACCTTTGCCCTTTCTTCTCTCACAGACAAGATTTTAGCTTTCCTCAAGTGGATCTAGCAGAAAGTCCTTTTTAGCTGTTGTGCTTACTTGTTTAAAGCTTTCTCCAGGTATTCCTGAATCCACTTTAATTTTGGGTCAATGCACACTTGTCTGTTGTTGTTCTTCAGCCTTGCCCTGCCAAAACAGAAGAGACCAGAGTGTACAGCTGAGCAGGAAGAAGGCATTGCTGTGATGTGTGCATTCATTCACTCCACACCCATTTAGGGCCCTCACGGGTGCTAGACTCGCCAGAGGTGCTCAAGGGGTGATGGGGAAAGTAGCATACTGGCAGCACAGCAAGTTTCATCGCAGAGACACAGAAAAGTGAACAAAAGTCTTTACAGGGAGAATTTCCATAAAAGAGCATTTGAGCCGTCTTTGAAAGATAAGTAGGTGCTTGGAAAGTGAATAAAGGGGAAGGGAAAAACAGGAGAAAATATACCAAATGGGTCAAAGTGCACAGACAACATGGAGACAGAGTGGGGACAGGATGCTCAAGAGTGACAGAAGCAGATTTCCATTTGATGGGTTTTAAGGAGATGAACTCAAGGGGAAAGCCCAGAGGCAGGAGACCACCAGGAGATACTGCAAAAGTCTGGAGGTGAGGGTGATAGTGCAGTGAGGCGAGGGACAGTGCAGGTTAGGGAAGGAATAGTGCAGGTGGTTTGCCAGAAAACGGTTTCGAGAGAGATTTTACAAGTTCACTAATATTTTTTGGTCCTATTCATCTTTAAAAGTTAAGAACCTTCCTCCCACATTCTCATATCCACTCAAAGCCTCCATATATACAAATTCCTGGGGAGGATCTGGACTTATCTCTCTGAATTTTTCTCCATAAAGATCTGGATGCCAGGTAATCTCAAGCATCCCCGGGATACCCTTGTGTCTAGACACAGGACTCTGAGCATAAGAAAGGGCCAAGCAATGGACTTCCCAGCACATGGTTTGCTTTCTGCACCTCTCCCAGCCTCCTGCAAGCTGGTGAGATCTTTGTGCCACAGGAATGAAATCAAATGTTAGCAATTGCCATCATCACCAAGCAAAACCAAAATATCATGCGTTGTACTTAAGAAAATGCAGGCAAGTAAGCAAAAAATTTGGGGGTTTCACCAAATAATTAAAGACGCTGTGAACTGAATGTGAGTCTTGTGAGTTTTTGCTACATGAGAAAGGATTAATTTAGAGCACCAAAGCCATGAAACTGGCAGAACAGATATAATTGTTTCTAACAAAGGACTGGCTAATTTACTGGGCTTAACTGAAAGCTTGTTGAAGCTCATGGTTTCTCCAGTCCAGAGGCATCCAGCAGTGCTGTGCTGAAGAAAGGAAGTTTGGAAAGAGAGAAGAACCACTATGAGCACAGCAGGGTGCCCAGGACAAGAGTAGCTTTTGAAACTCATGCCTGGTGGCATATTCAAAGTCCTCATGTTAATAATAGCTTTTATTTATGCCAAGTTCAAGGCTGGACAGTTAGCTTATGTCATTTCTATAACAAGCCTGAGAGTTAAATGTTGCAATGTCCATTTACTAGATGCAGCTCTCCTGGAGAATGATGTTCAAGACTTACACAATCTGAAGGGCGCAGTTGGGAGTGTTGAGGATTTTAAGGTGCTTGACATTGGCTCTGGCAACATGACTTTCGAAAAATCGGCATGGACATCTGTAGCTCAGGCTGACAGGTTTGCCTAGAAGAGGTAAGAAGAACAAGACAATGTGTTACCCTGCTAGGCTTTGGGAGGTATGAGTGTCCATGTCTGCAGCCTATGGATAAGATGGTGCAATGATGGTAGGCTAAGGATCAGGAGATCAGTGGGATCAGTAGTAAGAGTTACAGATTACCGGTGCAGTCTTGGAAAGGCATCTCCTTGGGCAGCACAGTGAGTTCTGGCTGGGCTCAGGCTCAGCTTCTACAGAGCAAGAGGACCAAAGTGCCTGGGGAGAGCTGGGCTCTAGATGAATGGAGAGAGTAAAATAGAAGCCACCTGCTCAGATGTCTCAAAATAAAGGTACTGATTACAGAAGAGAATGGTTTCAGTCTAAGGTAATGAGTCTCAGTTTTTCTTTGCAAGATAAACTCCTCCAGGAACAACTAAGAAAGATCTCTCTACTCAGGGAAGGGGGAAAAAGGAGGCTCCAAGATCCCTGATTTCCTTCCTGGTGGTAGTTCTCAGGAATGCTGCCCTCCCCCACAGCAGCCACCCTCCTCACATTCACCTGAGGTCCTGGAAACGACAAAAGTATCAGACTACCTTCCCACCAGGGAGTCCTAGAGGGCAGGCCAAGGGCCCACCTTCTCCCCAGCACCTCCCCCAAGGTTCGGAGATTGTGGAGCTGGAGTCAAATGTGGAATTTCATTGCCTGGGTGGGGAGGCTGAAGCCTCCGGAATCATATTAAGACCTTTGCAAATTCACCAATTTACAAAATGCCATAATTGACACTCATTAGTGTAAATTAGCAAGGGGCTCTGGCAGAACCCACCATTGGCCCTTTAAGTCTAGAATTGCAAGCCCTGAGGGACTGGGATTTGTGGGCTTTTGTTTTTTGTTCTCTCTGCAGATTTCATCCAAGCCCTGCTCAATATCCCAAACGATTTGAATTTGTGGATCCTTTCATCAGGGATTAAATATAGGTCTGAGAATATTTAGTCCAGAGAGTCTTTTAAAAAGCTTGTCTTTTTACAGAGTTCTGAGAGGCCTTGGTGGTTCTCAAGTCCTGCACCTTTGGAAAAAAGAGCTGGGGAAAGTGGGAGGAAGTCTTGCGAGTAAGAGGCTCATTTTATTTTATTTTCTACAGGTTTCATTCAATTCAGGGATGCTGTGGCTGGGAAAAAGCAGTGTATTTAGTCTCTGAGTCAAAGGAGAAGCAGACCATCTCCTTCCCCACCCCGCTCCGGAACAAAGGCGACTCCCTAAAAACCAGAAGAAGAAAGCCTAGCATCAAGGCGCTGGGTGACTCAAGGCACAGGGGAGACCCGGAGCAGCCTTTACATTTATACCTGATCTAACTCCAGGAGCCACCTCTGGAGCTGGTTTCCACCAACCCTTACCGTTTCCTGGCAGGGGAAGTCAGTGCTGCACTGTAACTAGATCACCTGGGAAAGTGACCTGGAGGGCTCTCGGCTGGCAATCTGGGTGATTGAGGAGCCAAAGTTTCCCCTTCTGAGTGTTGTGCCTCCAGGTTTCCCTGGATTTCTTTTGGGAGCTTCTGAGCCGAGGGATTGGGTGGGGGTGGGGAGAACTGGAGCCCCCTGGTGTGACACAAGGGCCAACCCCAGAGAAACGTCAATATTGAAGGTATGCAGGCAAGTGCAAGTGCTCCAGTGCCCTGCTGGGGTGGGGGGTGGGGGGCCATGCTACTCTGAGAAGCTGTTCTGCCTCCCCCTCTCCTCACCACCACCAAGCAGTGGAGATCAGGCCAGAAATCAGAGCTGATTCTGAGCTCAAAACACCGACTTTCTCTCTCCCCTCTCCCTCTCCACCCCCTGGGATTATCCATTTCCTTCAAAGGCAATTTTTATTCCTACTCCCAGGACCCCACTGCCAGCCTGTCAAGCAGGAAATTTCAATAGTTTTTTTTTTTTTTTAAAGTGACAGAGCTCCCAGGTGTTCTTACCAAGACAATTAGGTTTTGTGTCCACCTCCTGTTCTTTTTTCCACCTTTTTGCCAGAGCTAACTTTTCCAACTAATTTGGATAAATCTCTGTGTACAGGCAACAGTCATGGCCAGCTCCAATGTTACCCCAGATTTGGAACTTGGGGAACTAGGCTCCTAGGAGCAGTATTTAGAAAACCTTCCAGTTAATGCAGAGACTGGAGCCCCACCAGCCCTCCATGCAGGCTTGGGGCCCACCCTGGGAAGCCCAGGGTGCCCAGAGGCCCAGCTGCTTGACTGAGGTCAGTCAGTGGGGGGAAGACAGGCGCACGCAGCAGAGCAGAGTTCTCTCTGTAGTGTAGCTTGGGGCCAGAGGGTACATAAGTGCTGGGAGGTTTAAAAAAAAAAAGTGTTCTGGTGATGCAGGCAAGAAAAACCAGACTTACATGGGGCCGTGGATCCTGACCTGGCTACTTGGGTGCCAAGAAGGCAACCCTGAGGGGCAAACGACCCAACCCTGCCCAAGATCAGGAGGAGTCGGTGATGCACTCCACTTTCTCTGTGCTTCCCCCAAGTAAGCTGCACTCAGGACTCAAGAACCTGTGTCACTACATGCCAATCCCCTCTCAAGCCCTCTCGGGGGTGGGGGGAAGGACCATTTTTCAGAGAGATGCACCTCCACCCTCACCAGAACACTCGATTATTAACCACCTAGAATAGGGTGCCCATGACCTGAAAGGTCAGTGTGAAGCTGTAGCCTCAGATACTTTTCAATAAGGAGAAGAATTCTAAATTGCTTTCATTCTGGGGTCTCTGCAGCTCTGACCAGCAAAACGTGGCATGCTTTTAGAGAACACTTCCCAGACCGTCCGCCGCGAACCCGCTTAGCCCAGCCTCTCTTGCTCGGCAGCCACGACCTTGCCCTCCCCACATCAGCGTCCAGGTCATCACCCGCGAAGACGCCGCGGCGGGGTAAGCCTGAACTAACCTAGCGCTCGGGCGCGCTCCGGTCCCGCACAGAC